AATTAATCAAGTCACAGTACCAAGATATATCAGAAGCCAATGCTGGCTGGGGAATTCTGGGAATTGAAGTCCACACATCTTAAAGCTGCCAAGGTTGAGAAACACTGTATTATTATATTTAATAGGGATTTTCCTCTCCTGACTCTATTCTCATATTTGCTTTGGCCCAGCTCACTTTCTTCCTTGCAGTCCCCTGGCATGTCATTCAGTGCCAACATGTTCATAGAAATAAGGTTCACCACTCCTGTCATAAGCCATCTCAGCTAGTGTCAGCCCTTCCAGGTTGTCCAGACCAGGAAACAGACTCCACAAGAAGACTGGAACTCAGCTTTATTGAGATAGGCGATATGAACAGAATCTTGCAAGTCTGACTGTGTCGTTCCTCCTCTCCCTCTTACACTCCAGTGAGTCCGGGAGGAGCCAGCCTGAGTCTCTTCCTAATTCTACCTCCTTTCCACATCTCCACAAATGCTTCTGCCCTTTTTGTTGTTGTGATGGCTTTTGAGTATTTCTCTCAAGGCCATCTCCATGGCTCTGTACGGCTAGTAGAGAATCAGCACATGAACGGTGAAAAGAAAATTAGTATTTTTTCACACCTGAACACAGCCCATCAACTACATATGACAACCTGAACTTTGTGCAAGAAAAAGCAGGCCCAAAGAGGAGATTCTTTGTGTGGGTGAAACTGAAAAGCAACACTGAAAGCTGAGCATAAGAATTAAAACAGGAGGGGAGGGGGTATCTTAACCTTTTGCTGGGCATTTTTGTGTAACTTCCAACAGCATGAGATGAAAAGTGGTCATTTTTTGGGTTGTTTTTTGTACTGTTTTTTTTATTTTTAACTCATAAGCTACCCAGAGGATGGACAGCCATATCAATTTAAATAAATAAATGATCAAGAGGAAGCCCTGACCTTCCACAATGTTTTTCCCAAGATTGCGCCCCGTAAAATGTAACAGTTTGCAAAAAGGTCTACAGAATCACACGTAATATGAAATTCTGCTCTTGAATAGTCTGGATAAAGTGCATATGTGAGCATGGGGGGGAAGAAAAAAAATTGGTTTCTGATATATCTTGGTACTGTGACTTGATTAATTTTATCAATGATGAGGATTAAATATTCTCTCCCACACCATTTAATGGTGACTATGGCAGTTGTACCATGACTGCTTTTCAATCTGAAGAGTAACATTATTATGAGAAACAAATCGTGCTGATATGTAGACTCCCATAGTCTTGGAACAATGGAAATAGAATACACTGGCAGGCATCATGGAGGCCTCAACTAAGAGTTCTGTTTAGCTGTGAGAGTGGGAAGATGTGTCACAAGTTGGGGCAATACAACTTTTCGAGTACGATCCATTTGGAACGTAGACAGTATATCACAGGCGTTCTTATAACATGGCTGTCTTGATGGAGGGGGGCCTGCCTCTTCCCAAAATGGCCACCATGGGATATGTGGCCAGTTGTAAAACCACCTCTTTACTAAAAGTCAAAATGGAAAGTTGCTCCCTTATATCTTTTCTGGTCCCCCAGCAAGCTCTCGATCAGCCCAGGTTATTCTTTTACTTTTGTGGGAAGGGACAGATGGATCTGCTTCCAAGGAAAGCCCTGCAGTGCGGCCCTCCTCTATTTTAAATTGCTAATGGGCTCCCAAAGATGCTCATCAGGACTCCCAAAGATGCTTCTTCTTGGAAGTAAAGACGCTGCCAGAAGCTGCTGCTTTCCTCTGTAACTTGCCAGTTTCCTGTTTCCTTATGGAATAGGTAGGACAACTCAGTATAGACAAGTTTGTTACCATGGGTGTGGTAATCCTGTGAGCTGGATGATGGACCTCATCAAGATGAATAGCTTGTTCCCAGTCATGGGAAGAGGAAATGGAAATGGATGGGTTGTGACTATTTGTCTGAAATAACTGATTAGTTTTTGGCTTGATGCCTAGAAATACATGGAAGTTAGATGTAGAAGAAAGTGTAGGTTGGCACAATACATCTTCATCAGGGACCTTTTTCCTGGTATTAAGAGATGCACATGGGAAATTGCATTGTCTAAGTTCTAACATCCCTGTTTTGGAACAATGAGTTCTGCTTAACAGGCATCATGTTGGTGTCTGAGTTAGAAAACTCAAGTAGCAAATTCATTTCAGATGACTGATGATTCAAGTTCCAGTTATGGAAGGATTCGTGTATATTTTGTTATAAGGATGCTTATATTTTAATAGGAACTAAACTTACACAGAGGTAAAATGTATGTTTACATGGTTCATACTTCCTTGGTTTGATCTCCTCTGAATAGGATCTAATAACCAACCAAGACAGAAGATAAATTCCTATCTCATCCTTAAGACATATAAATATTTACTGAATACACTTTTGAACTGGAGCAAGTTGTTCCTCTTCTAATAAGCCAAAATTTGGGATTACAGGTAGTCCCAGTTTAAGAACGAGTTCCGTTGCCAAGGTCTGTCCTTAAATCGAATTTATATGTAAGCCAGAACAGTATTATTGTTTAATATTGTGTAAGTAGTATTGCGTAATGAACTCTAATCGTGTATTTACATCAAATTTTGCTACAGTTCTAACAACGACAACAGATAGTATCATGTGTGAAGTTGTCTCAGAGAAAAATGAAACCTAGTCTTAATGGCAAAACTGCAGGATGAAAGGGAAAAATTGATGAGAAATAATTGTTTCTTATTTATATTACAATGAATAGTGTTTATTTGATTTAGTTTTTCCATATGCACAGGTATCATTATTAACTACATTTAATTTTGGCTTATTATAAATAAATTAGATTATCGTGCTTGCCTCTTTCTGCCAGCAATAGTGACTAAACCAGAAGTAGAATTCCTGGTGCCCTCTAGATGTTTTGAACTACAAATCCTAAAAGCCCCAGCCAGAGCATCCAGTGGGCAGGGATTTGGAAGAAGACCTGGTTGCTAGTTCTTATGCCAAGGTTAGACATTGTGGAAGCTGCTTCTGCAAGTTGTTAAGCACGATTTGTAAACTCTGACTTGTTCCTCTTCTAATAAGCCAAAGTTTGGAATTACAGGTAGTCCCAGTTTAAGAATGAGTTTCGTTGCCAAGGTCTGTCCTTAAATCGAATTTATACGTAAGCCAGAACAGTATTATTATATAATACTGTGTAAGTAGTATTGCCTAATGAACTCTAATCATGTATTTGCCTCGAATTTTGCTACAATAGGCTCTGTTCTTAACTATGAGTTGTCTGTAACATGGTCATTCTTAACCCGGGGATTCCCTGTACAGTATACTTTTTCTCAGGTTTTGACTCTTTTCATTTCATGACAACATTTTGGCAGCCACTTGGTACAAGGATGTGATAGCATGTCAGGAAAAGTCCTGGGAAAGTAGAAAGCAGGAGAAAGAAACTCAGAACAATTCTGCCTTGATTGAGCTGGGAATATGTTAAAGTAGAGAGAGGCTTTGTTAGGCTTCCAGGTTTACCGCATTACAGTACTTTTGAAAACTCCTAGTGACTCCTGTTTCCTGATTCCCTCACCGTAGTCAATCTCCATGTTCTCAACAGGCTTTCAAAATTTCCAGTGTGCCCACCAGCCCAAAAGATCCTGGAGATCTTGATGTCAGGCCTTAGAATATAATGGCTAGAAATTCTGAAAACTGCCATCCCAACATATCTGAAGGTCACTTAATGGGAACTGCCATTGCCTGGCCTTTGTGGTGTCACTTTATATCTATACCAGAAGTACAATGGATGTTTTATAAAGATTCCACTGGAAGTGCCTGGCCAGAAATTGCCACTATTTTATAGTTGATAAGAAGAAATAAATGCAGGGTCTCTACAGTATTCTTTCTAGAAACTAAATATGACCCAAGCCTTATGATACCTTCTAATTCTGACAATCCAAATATTTATGGCAAACATAATCTGTGAATACTTACGGTAAACAAAAATTTCTGTCCTGGCATAGGTTTGATTAGAGACTCCATAATTAACCAAGCATAACAATGGAAGTGTCCATTCAGTTACATTAGCAACGTACAGATCAATCCAACCATCTCCCTTCTTGGTCACGGATGGAAGAGCCACTTCCCATCTCAGTTTATTGTAGCTGCTACATGAAACCATGCAGGTCAAATTCAAAGAAGCCCCGAACATCACATTATTTACCTTGGGATTGATAGTCACTTCACATGGGTGCACTAGAAAAACAAGAACAGGATGCAAAGGTCAGGTTACAAAGAAAGATGAGCAGTTATTTCAGGTGGAGCATAGTTCTAAAAAGATGTTTGGATGAAAATTAAATGAGCCCTATGGGTAGTCCTCACTTACCAACCACTTGTTTGGTGACTGCTCAAAGTTGTGACAGTGCTGAATGAGTGGTATTTATGACCAGTCCTTGAAGTTCCGGCCATTGCAGCAACCCCACGGTCACATGATTCCGTTCGGGTGCTTGGCAACTGTCTTGCATTTATGACAGTTGCAGCATCCCACAGTCACACGATCACCATTTGCAACGTTCTCTGCCGGCTTCCCACAAACAAAGTGAATAGGGAAGAGAGCAGGGAAGGCTGCAAGTTGCTCTGTTAAGCCTCCTCGGCCTTCCTGCACTTGCACCCTGCTGTGCTGTCCACCCCCCAGCCTTCCTGCCCCAGTGCCCCACCGTGCCATCCATCTCCCGGCCTCCCTGCACTCATGCTCTGCCACACTGTCCAACTCCTGGCCTTCCTGCACTCGCACATGACCTGTTCCAGGCCTCCCAAGCTCTCTCCAAGCCTCCCTCAATTCCCATGTGATCTGCGCTGGGCCTTCCAACCCCTCCCCCAGCCTCCCCCAACTCACGCACAGACTGTGCCAGCCCTCCCAGGACCTCCCCTGGCCTCCCCCAGCACCCCACAGCACCCCCGCACTCCTTGCCCCTTACCTAGGACTCCAGCCACTTCCCACTTAATGACCCACATGTCTTGGGCTTACGACGGCAACCAGGACTGCTGGGATTGTTATCACTTTACAACCGCATCACTTAGTGACAGCAATCCCAGTCCCAATTGCTATCATAACTCAGGTCGGCTATTACAAAAGCTCTCCTGACAGGTCCCTGGCTCCCTACCTGTCATCACAGTACCTATGATTCCCTGATGGAGAAACAAATTACTGCTAAATCTAGTTAAGTTAATGGGATGATGATAATGATGATAATGATGGTGTTTCTGGTACTGAAGATCTTATTCAAAACAACTACCACTAATGTATTGTTATCTACTATACTGAAGGTGCATTAGCCAGTAAGTTCTCAGAAAGCAAAATTAAAAAGTAACATGTTTATATTAGTTGAAGTTGAACTCAACATAGATGCTAAGACTGTCCATAGCATCCAAGGGCCAAAGGACAGTCCTCCAATTGAGGAGGAATGGGAATGGGAAGGCTGCCATCACCTTTGCTCATCCATTAGCCAAAATCACCATCTCACTCTGATTAATAGTACTACTGGCTATATTCTATTCATGGGATTGCAAATAATCAGTGAGTAACCATTGAGTTACCAGTGATCTCTTCTTCCAAAAGAAGGTGAACCTGAAATAGCAGTTCTGTGCAGAGAATTGCATGACTGAGAGGCACTGAGCGATATTCTTTCTTTCACCTCTTGGCCAATTATATGGGACACTGGCTTCCCATTTTGTCTATAGTGAACTCTACTCCCCTTAAATGCAGAAGTGACCCATGCCGTTCCACTTGCAAACATTTATTCAGCAACGTGGAATAGGCCAAGACAAAAAGGAAGCAACTTGTCTGAACAGGTCCAAGGGCAGGTTTCCAGGAAAAAGGAAAATAAATAGTTTCCCATTAGTTCACAGCATGTTCTGTCCACAACAAAATAATCCCTTTACTGTAACATTGATTGCATTCTTGCTTTCTACTTGTTTGTAACAAGCCAAGACATAACGAATGCTTTAAAATCACACATCCCCTTCCCTTGGAATAGAACTGTCTTCCTGCAACTGTTGTACTGAGCCAGACCCATCAAACACTGACAAACAAAATTCTGCAATGGAATTCTTGGCAATGAACACTTAAGTTGGCATCTTCCCCATACATCTCTGTTCCAAGCGTACCGCGTTGTGGACTGTGCATGTGTTTTGCCAAGTGTAAGCCTCTGTCTGCCCTTCGATAGTTGGCACAGAGAGATCATTTTTACCACTGTATGGGCTAGATGTTTTCCCTCTGAAGTTCAGCATAATCCAAAGCAGTTAAATCTCCACATCAGTGGCATAGACAGCATTGGTGCTGTGATAAAGGCAGGAGGGAATGAAGAAATGAATACTGTGGAGTCCTTGGGGTTCTCTGAGCTTGGTGCTTTTTCTGCAAACGTTTCATTACCCGGCTAGGTAACATCTTCCGTGATGGAACGGGATGGGGTTTGCTAGTAACATCTTCCGTGCTGGAATGGGATGGGGTTTGCTCTCAATATCTTACGTGCTGGAATGGGATGGGGTTTGCTCTCTACTGTGTGATGCCCTGCCGG